AGATATGATATTTTTACAGAAATTTAAATGATTGCTGTTTTTATTTGAACAACAATCTATATTTTATACTATATTTTATATATATAAAATTTATATCTCTATAAAAAAAATTCTGTTTAATATCTTCTTTTAATATAAATATTCAATTATATAATAAATTGATTTTTAAGACATATAATATGAATCATCAAATAGCAATAAAAATTTATAATGATTATTATGTCAAATGAGAAATAGCAAAATAGTAGATTCAAGTTATATGCCAGCATGTCAATGACCACAGAGTAGTTGAACTAGTGACCACCATATGGAATGAAGTATTCACTTGACACGTCACAAGATCGCTAACCTTTTTGAAATGAATGTATGCACGTTGCATAGATCGAAAATAGTACTTGCGTATTTCTATCTCGAAATAAGAAATAGGTAATATAAAGATGACGCCGTTATATTCAGAAAGAAAAAGACAAAATGAAAAAAAAGATTCATATGGGCAGTCTCGACATAACACGAAATAATACTTACTCTACCGTAATAAAGAAATCCGGCCAAGTAATAAACGTATATTACGAAGCCAGTTTAATAGTGATTTGCCTGAAACATTAAAAAATTCATAAATATTAGACACTGATGAACACTTAATCTAATTTAATTATTATCGAGCAAATAATTATCCACTATTCTCACGAACGTACGTCTTTCCTTACCGGTAACGCAAAGTGAAATGAGATAAATATTAGCTGGGTTGCAGAAAGTTACTATAATAGTATAGAGATGTCGAACAGCATTTTCTCATTGCAAACCTTAAGATATAAAAATCACTAGAAAATTGTATTTACAAAAAATATTTACTATAATATTTTTATGATAAAAATATATTTGAAATAAAATAATTTTTATTAGAAACTTCATAAAAAATATATATGCAATATTATAATTTAATTATGATGAAATTAAAAAATATATCGATATTTAATTATCTATTTGATACAATAGGAAAACGTACTAATATGCATTAATAAAAAAATAACTGATATTGATTAATGTTGTTATTAATTATTTAATTACATTTTATGAGGAAGTATGAATATTCATTTTTTTTATTTTTATTATTTTATTATTTTTATTATTACTTTATACATATTTTCATATATTATTTTCAAATAAAAAAAAATAAATAAATATATAACATAGAATTAAGTAATTTTTTTTACTTAATACTTATTCTTAAACTTGCAAATTAAATAATTTCAAAATTTGTTATCTATCTATTTTTTTGTATTAATTATAATTTATAATGTCGAAAAATTAAAATACAAATAACTAATAGGTAATAAATAAATTCGAAATGTAATCAATAGAAATATATTGAAAAATAATTAAATGAATTGTTTAATTTTACTTAAAATGTACATTATTATAATTGATTACATTTTTATTTGAAATGTATTATTATATAACAAGATACGATAAAGATTTAACGATAGGTCATTTTTCAAATACACTATATATTTAAATATTCAACTTCAATAAAGAAAAAAAAAATATGCCTGAAAATATCAATCATTCGGGACCATTCATAGGGGCAATTGATGAAGGAACGAGTAGCGCTAGATTCTTAGTAAGTAAATTTTATTTGTGTTTAAGTTCAAACAATAAAAATAACTGACAACTATCTAGTCAAGTTATCTGAATGAAACTTGACCTTTGTCATAATCATTATTTGAATGTGATGTTTATTTTATGATATGTTAGAAAAATATTTTGGAATAAATATTATTTTATAGTTTGTAAAAAAATGTTTTACAGAATTTTTTTTTAATTAATTTGTTTTTTTTAATAAATTTTCATTTTAAAGTTATTTGATTTTATTAGTTTTTCATTCATGATTCATTCATAACAAAATTTTAAATAATTTTATTTTACAATAAATATTAGGATTTTTATATAAAAATAAGAAAAAATATATAATATAAAATATAATACATAATAATAATATATCTTTTTTTAGGTGTTTGATGTATTACATAGAAAGGTATTAGCATCACATCAAATTGAAATTAAACAAAAATATCCACAAGAAGGATGGGTGGAACAAGATCCAAAAGAAATTTTAGAAGCTGTTATAGAATGCATAAAAAAAACAATAGAAAAGCTAAAAGATATTAATATAAATGTATCAGATATCAAAGCAATTGGAATCACTAATCAACGAGAAACTACTTTAATGTGGGATAAAAATACAGGAGAACCATTACACAATGCAATAGGTAAAATGCAATATATAATTTATTATTAAGATACATTATTTGTAATGTATTTGCATATGTGTAATATATAAATATAATTATTAAAATAAAATTAATAATTTTTTATAGTATGGTTAGATATGAGAACTACTACAACTTTGGAAGACATATTAGATAGTGTACCTAATAAAACAAGAAACAAAAATTATTTAAAACCTCTTTGTGGACTTCCAATGTCACCATATTTTAGTGCTCTCAAAATACGTTGGTTAATTGATAACATACCACGTGTTAAACATGCAATAGATGAAGAGAGATGTGCTTTTGGAACTATTGATACATGGCTTATTTGGGTATGTTTTTATTTATACAAAATATTTTTATTTTATTTTTATTTTATATAAAATATTTGCTACAAAATATTACAATTACAATTATTTCATTGATTAATCAAATAAATTATACTTTTTATATAGAATCTTACCAAAGGACAATTACATGTAACTGATGTTTCAAATGCATCTCGTACTATGTTAATGAATATTGAATCATTAAAATGGGATCCTCTGTTATGTCGATTTTTTGGAATTCCACAGCATATTCTACCTGAAATAAGATCTAGTGCTGAAGTATATACAACAATTTCAAATCCAGAAGTTCTTGCTGGTGTACCTATAGCAGGAGTATATTATAAAAATAATATATTTAAATATTAATGTTGTTCAAAATTTTATTAATTTTGATTATTAACATATTTCATATTTACATATAAGTGTGTAGGTGATCAACAAGGAGCACTTCTTGGTCAATTGTGCTTAAAACCTGGACAAGCAAAAGCTACTTATGGAACTGGTTGTTTTTTACTTTACAATACTGGAAGTATTGTATGTATTCATTTCAATTAATTATATTATTATATGTTCTATTAAAAATTAATTCATTTATTTAATTAAATGTTTAATCATTTTAGAAAGTAGATTCAACACAAGGTCTTATAACAACTATTGCATATAAAATAGGTAAAAACTCAGCAACTTATGCATTGGAAGGCTCAGTGGCTGTAGCTGGTGCAGCTTTATCATGGTTACGTGATAATATACAACTATTTAATAATATAACACAATCTCAAGACATGGCAGAACATGTAAGATCTTCAGGAGATGTATATTTTGTACCTGCATTCTCAGGTTTATATGCACCATATTGGCAACAAGATGCACGAGGGTAACTAGATTACAGTAATAATTATTTAAAAGATCATTATTTTTGATATCAAAGTACAAATTGCATATATTTTAGAGTAATTTGTGGTATTACTGAAGATACACAACAATATCATATCATTCGCGCAGCATTAGAAGCTGTTTGTTTTCAGACAAGAGATATTTTAGAAGCCATGGTTAAAGATTCTGGAACAAAATTAACAACTTTACAAGTTGATGGTGGAATGACAGTAAACAATTTACTTATGCAATTACAAGCTGATCTCACAGGAATAAATGTTGGTGTGTATAAAATTTTATGAATTAATATTGCATATATATTTACATATACTATATTATATTATATTCTAATATCATTTTTTTTTAATCTAATAGTACGACCCAATATGGTAGAAACAACAGCATTGGGAGCAGCTATATTAGCTGGTGTTGGAGTCGGTCTTATCGACATAAATGATGTAGATGCATCTCAAGTTACAGAATTTTCACCCTCTATTGAAGAAGATGGTAATTTTTTTTCACGAAAAGAAATTTAAAAAAAATTTTATATTTTTACAAAAATATTAAATTATATATATTTATATTTTAGAAAGAGATTTGAGATATTCTAAATGGAAAATGGCTGTTGAAAGATCCATGAAATGGGATTGTTCTACTACTTTAATGAATAATTAAAATTTTCAAAATATCCCTGTAAATAATAGGAATGATAATAAAGAATTAAACAAAGAAACATTAAAACAAAAAGTATATAAACAATGAACAATATCTTGCTCAAATGAATGCATATATAAAGATTGAATATTGTGAATTTAATATAATAGATAAAAAATATTTAAATAAACAATAAATAAGAATCTAAAATATACATTTTGTTAATAAATATGTTGGATATTATTATAGATATTTATTAAAGAAATTATTTTTTGTTAATAATTGTTATGGATTAATTATATTTTTAACAAAATATGTAATTTATAAAATTAACATTTTTATATAATTTATATAATTTACTAAAGTATATTAATAAACATAAGTAAAAAAACATAAATAGATTGAAAAAATACATTTTAAGCAATTACAAAAAAATTTATCTTTGAAATATATATATTATATGAAACTATATATTTTTTAAATAATAACTTATAATAATTAAATAATTTTATGTAATAATAATATTTTATAAAATTTTATTTTTTAGAAATTTTTCCAGATGTTCCGAATTGAGGTTTCTTTGGAATTCCATATTGTCGTAATCCATAATTGCGTGTTTTAAATATTTTTTTTTTCGGCAAGAAATCATCTTTATCCTATTTATGCAAAATAAGACTTTTCTTAATTTTTTTAGTTAAATATAAAATATATAAAATAGAAAAGAAAAATTCCTTTTAAATAATACCTCATTTTTTTTCTCTTCCTTATCTCGAGAAAAAAAAGAATTATTTTCGATACAATTAAAATCCTAAAAATTTTATTATCTTTATATTATTATTATTATTTTGTATTATAATTATTATTTTATATAAAATTAACTGTAAGTGTGAGTGTGAATGTTAAACTTCACCTTCGTTGGAGAATTTAAATTGAATCGAACCTTTTTTTCTTGTACTGATAATATCTATAATTAACAGTTATATAATGCATATAATTATGTATATCCAAAAAAATTAAAGTAAAATTATATACATAAAAATAACATAAAAATATATTATATATATAACTTACATTTTGTAATTCATCATTAATTTCTCTGGTACTAAAGCTATATATATCTTGTTCAAGATTCGATATTTCGTTTTTATCTTTGATTATAATTTTTGAGTTATTTATATTTTCTTGATTTTGAAATTCTTTTACTTCACAAATTTGATTTGTTTGACTTTCTATTTTTTTAATTATTTCTATTGGAATAGATTCTATTAAAGGTTGCATTTTTTCTTTTAAATTATCTTGCAATTCATTATGATTTATTTTTGTATATTGATCATTTGTTTGTTTATTTTGATTTTCTTCATTATTTATTTTACTTAAACTTTCATTTAATTTTAAATATGCAGAATTTTGTGTAGTTAAAGTTTTTTTCATTTCTATTAGTTTAACATCGAATTCTTGTTTTAAGGATTTTATCTCTGTTTCGTATTTTTTTTTCGATAATTTATGAGTATTCTCAAATTCCTATTTATAATAAATGAATTTAACTCATTATTTATATATTTATATTTGTAATTAATATTAATTTTTAGTTATATTTTAAAATTGTACCTGTATTTTTAAATGTTTTTCTAAAAGTATTTGTGCTTTTTCTTTTTCTAAAAATTCGATTTTTCCGTATAATTCCATTATTTTATGTTCATTATCCAAATTCACCATTTGTAAAGATTGTTCAAGATTTATATTGCGAACTTGCGCTTCTTTTAATTTATTTTCTATATTTAAAAAATCATTTTGCATATTTTTATATTTATTATCAATCATATCAAAATCTTTAGCTAAACTAGATTCTATTTCTTGTCTAGTATTTAAATTTTCTCGTAGTTTATCGATCTTAAAGAATAAAATTAATTTAATATATATATATATATATATATATAATTATAATATATTATTATATACTTCCTGTGTTTTCGTTTGTATTTCTTTTGATAGTTTTTCTTCCTTATCTATGGATTTTTCATATTTTGCACTTAATTCAGTATTATAGTATAACAAATTCTCAATTTTATTTCTGCCACAAAATCAATGAATTAAGATGAAATACATAAATGATTCATTTACACATATAAAAATACTTACTGGCATGTAACAATCTCCCCTTGCAATTTTATTATTTCATCATCTTTTTCAGCAAACAAGATAGTTAAGTTTTGTTTCTCTTCCGTAATCTTCTGTAATTGCACTTGTAGTTCTTGATTCATCGACGTGAGATTTTCTTGCTTCTAAAATCGTAATTGTTTATAATATTTTACATATTTATTATATCCATGATAACAACGTGTGACGATAATATAGGTAATATATTTTTTTTATTTTCAAAGAGACAAGATTATACACGTCTTTTTACTTAAAATAGAAAAATTAAAGTAAAAAAAAAAAAAAATAAAGTCTAAAAATAATATATATTTCTTAAAATAATGTAAAATATATATTTTAGAAATATATATTTTTTACCTTTATTAATTCCAATTTTTCTTCTGTATAAACATTATGCAAATGATTTTTCTCTAAAACTGAATTATTTTTCAATTCTTCGAATTGTTTTTTCAATTCGTTCTCAATATTCATCATTTCATGTATTCTAATAAATGAAACATAAATTTTTCATTATTTCTTTCATTATTCTTCAATGAATAATTTATATGTTTAAGAAGAAATGTTTCATAAATACCTTCTCTCTTGATTTATTACTTTGTTTTCCATTGTATTAACAATATTTCTTTGCTCATTATCTATAAAAAAATATTTTAATCAAAATTAGAAATACAAAGTTTATAATAAAATTTATATAATATTAACCTTTCAATTTCATAATACATAATTCTTGTTGAAGTTTCTTCATTGTAGATTGTTGAATAACGATGATTTCATTATATAATTTCGATAGATTATCCTTATGTTGTTGAAATCCTTTTAAACTCTCTGATATTTCATAATAATATTTAGTAATTGATTCCCAATCGTTATTCAATCTAGAAAAGAAAATTAATATTGTCTTCAGTATCAATTTTTAATTGCAATAAATGTCTAAAGAATACATAGTAAATATGTATATTACTGTTGTAAAATCTCCTCTTTAGCTCGTAATTCGATCTCATGAGAGGTAGAAAGTGAAGATATGGTTTCTTCAGCGATCTGAAGCTTCTTTTGTAACTTTTGAATTTTTCGTTCTTCAATTACATGCATCTGTTTCATTTCTTCCGTAATTAAATTTTCTCGTACCTATTTATTTATTATTTATTTAATAAAAGAAATTTTATTTAATATTTTTTGATAACAACTTTTTAATAAAATAAAAATTATATACTATTCCTGTTTCGGACAGTGGTGTTTGGATACCCATATGTTTAGACCATTGTCCTATTAAAGTATTAACAAATTTTCCACTTGGACAAATTTTCTGAATTTTTTCCAGATTTTCATTATGAAATGATTGAATTTTTCGTTTGTTACTTTCTGATTGTGATTTCGCATCTTTTTTAAGTGATTCTAAGGTGAAATATTTTATATAAAATGATTTATTTTATTTCTTATATAGCATTATGAAATATTATACCATTTAAATATTATACCATTACTTTGAGGAGTTTTTGAATACTTATTCGGACTATTCTGAGGAGTATAGTGAATTTTACGTTTAACTTCTTGTGACATTATATCTTTTTTATCAAATTCTATAGAATAATTATGATTTTATTATTATTTATGAATCAAAATATAAATTAATAAAACTTACCACTAACTCGAGGTGTTCTTTGCAATTTTTCTGAATTATTATTCATATTATTTTTCATATTATGGGATACAAATTCAAAACTATGATTATCTTCTTGTTGCATTTTTGCGTTTATTTTCTGCGTTTATAATCTAAACAAATCAAAGTAGATAAAAATTAATTAATAGTATACTAAACTTTAAGTATTAACAATAAAATTCCTGCGATAACAATTATTATAATAATTATCTATAAAATTGCTTATTTATATCAAAGTAAATATTTTTTAAATAAAATTATTTCTAAATAAAATAATCGTATAAAATTTGGTCAATTATTTATGGATATGAAATAATATGATATAAGAACCGTCTTTAAATACAAGTGAGCACAATTTTTTTTTATTATTTTCGAATTTTACTACGTAAATAAATATAAATACTTGTATTAATATTTTGTACATTAATAAATACTATATGAAATATTAGCATTCATTATAATTACAATATAGCAAAAACATAAAATTTGATTATATTTTTGAAGAAAAAAGCTTTTAAATATTTAAAAATATTTTCTTTTAAATAACATTTTCTATAATAAGTATATTATATATTTTCTATAATGAAATATTTTTACATATAATTATTTTTGTAACTGTCATAATTTTTTTTAATTATTTATCAAACAATTACATTATAGTTGATATATCGATAAAATATTTACGATATAAACAATGGCCGAACATATGGCGCGCTAAATTGATCGCGCATCTTTATGATCCATATAATATCTCATTTATGAATTATTCAAAAGAATCTTATTCCTTTTTATTGTTATAATCAATAGAATTCTTTTTCAAGATTATTTAAACAAATAATAACAAATATTTTTCATAATATGATATAATAAATTATCGAAAAATATATATCATATTTAAGTATTTATTGAAACACATCGGCGCAGTAAATCAATGGCGCAGCTTCATAGCGCATGTGACAATTCGCGGAATCTGGAGTATCAGTAGGAAGGAGTCAGACATCCCTCCCTTCTCACGGGGATGTTCACAAAAGAGAGTTAAGCAGTGTACGTACCGTGACAATCTAATATACAAGCGGAACAGTAACAGGTGACAGACCAGAAACACGTTTTATCGAACGAAAGAATTAGAATATTAAAATGAAGGAACATGAGGCAACAGGAACCTGCCAAAAGAAACCAACGAAATTGCGAAATCTCATTTACAAGACTGAAGCTTTTGATTCTTTGCACACTGGAAATGCAGAGGTAATGAAAGAAATTTTTGAAATTTTTTTTTTTTATTTATTTTTTTATTTTTTATTTTTAATTTTTATTGCTTTATATATTTTATGTATATAGAAATTTTCATTTAAAAACTTTAATGTTTGATATTATATTATTGAATATTATTGAACAGCGTGGGAGTTCGAATAAAACTGCGAATATAGATAAATTTGTAATAGAATAAATCTACTATCGAAAAACAAGAATTCGTTTCAGTGACACACTAATTGTATGATGCATATATATAATATACATATTTTTTCAAATAATTGGAATAATAAATTTTGAAACAATTGAAGGAAGTTGGAATGAATATATATAGTATAGTTGGAATGAAAGAAACAATATTTTTATTTATCCAATTTATATTATAATCTTTTATAAGATTAAATATCTAAGGTTAAAAGTTAAAATAATTTAAATATATGTTCATATTTTGATTAGCGTAGTAATAATGATTCTATAATATTTCTAATTTGAATGTTATTGTTAATTAGTAATATGTTAAATTATTTTATTTAAATAAATGAAATATTATTATCAAAAAATTTTACAGATAATTAAGAAAATATAAAATTTTATGAAATTAAAAAATATTATATTAATTTTATCTCAATCTTATCTTTTCTTTAGAAAACATTGTGCTCTGGTCAAGTATGTCTTGGTAGCGTTATGCAGCTACCAATTCATAGTACAGAGCCCCGATCAAAAGAAGAAATTCTTTTACATGCTAAGGATTTTCTCGAACAATATTTTTCTTCTATTAGAAGGTAAAAAACATTTAAAACATATTTTTATATATAACTAAACATATTTTTATCATTTTCTATTAAATATGTTAAATATTATTTATTTTTTTAAAAAATAGATTAAATAGCGAAGCACATCGTATTCGTTGGGAAAGTGTACAAAAAGAAGTTACAGTTACTGGTACTTATCAATTAACTGAAACAGAATTAGTTTTTGGAGCGAAGGTAGCATGGCGTAATGCCACAAGATGCATTGGTCGTATTCAATGGTCTAAATTACAGGTATATAAGAATTTAAACTTATGTGTATTATATATTAAAGTATGTATATTATAAAAATCTAATTCTGAAAATTTAAATTAAAAAAATTAAAAATATATTCAATAATTTTTTTTTTATTATGTACTTTAATATTTTTTTATTAACATAAAAATAAAAATGAATAAAGAAAAATATTACAATTATCTGAAAGCAAATCTCGATTACTTGTCTTTTCTTTCCAGTTCACATGTAAAATTAAATATCATTCTTCAAGTTTATAATCTTCAATTATAGGTATTTGATTGCCGTTATGTCACAACAACTAGCGGCATGTTTGAAGCTTTATGCAATCATATTAAATATAGCACAAACAAAGGAAATATTAGGTAAATAAATAATAAAAATATTTTTCATTCAATATTATTATTGTGTAAATGTTACTATTTTATTTGATTTTTAGATCTGCAATAACAATATTTCCGCAACGTACGGATGGAAAACATGATTATAGAGTGTGGAATCATCAACTAATAAGTTATGCAGGATATAAAAATCCGGACGGTACCATAATTGGAGATCCTGCAAATATTGAATTCACTGAAGTAAAATAATTCTTTTCAATTCGTTTGTTACTTTTAATTAAATTTAATTTGTTACTTTTAATTATCTTTATTAAAAAATTATTCAAAATTATTACATAATCTATTGTTTTCACAGTTATGTATGAAATTAGGTTGGAAAAGTGCACGTACTCGTTTTGATATATTACCATTGATATTATCGGCAAATGGTCATGACCCTGATTATTTCGATATTCCAAATGAACTTGTTTTAGAAGTACCTCTTAGTCATCCAACGTAAGTATTTCTATTCATTATTTTTAGACGATTTATTAATTTTTATTTATTTATCGTAGATATGATTGGTTTGAAAAGTTAGAATTAAAATGGTTCGCAGTTCCTGCTGTATCTGGAATGGTATTTGATTGCGGAGGATTAGAATTTACAGCCGCACCATTCAATGGATGGTATATGAGTACTGAAATTGGATCGAGAGATTTATGTGATGTTCAACGATACAATTTATTAGAGGTATATTTTTATACAATTTAAAAAAAAATAAATATATTAAAATAAATTTTACTTATAGACAATTGCAACTCATATGGGATTAGATACAAGAACATCTACTTCGTTATGGAAAGACAAAGCTATGATAGAAGCTAATGTCGCTGTTTTGCATAGTTTTCAGGTATATACGAGAATGAAATATCTTTATTGAAAAATTTTTTATAAAGAATAATAATAAACTTTTAAAATTTTTTTAGATGAAAAATGTAACAATTGTAGATCATCATACGGCTTCAGAATCTTTTATGAAACATTATGAAAATGAAATGCGATTAAGAAATGGATGTCCAGCTGATTGGCTATGGATAGTACCACCGATATCAGGATCAGCTACACCTGTATTCCATCAAGAAATGGCTCTTTATTATTTAAAACCGTCATATGATGCTCAGGTTCTTATAAATAAATTATATATAATAAAATTATATATAATAGATATGTAATAAAAATTTATTATATCTATTACATACACAATTTTTGTATTTGCGTATAATTATTATAGGAACCTGCTTGGAAAACACATGTTTGGAAAAAAGGTCGTGATAAGAAATCAACTTCTAAAAAGCCAAGACGAAAATTTCATTTTAAGCAAATTGCAAGGTAAATCATTATAAATATATAAAAAGAAAGAAAAATAAATTTACAAAATTTACAAATCAAATTAATTAATAATTTTAGAGCAGTAAAATTTACATCTAAATTATTTGGAAGAGCTTTATCTCGAAGAATAAAAGCTACAGTATTATTTGCCACGGAAACTGGTACATCACAAATGTATGCTGAAAAACTTAGCGAATTATTAGGACATGCTTTCCATTCGCAGGTATTTAATTATTTAATTATATAATTAAATATGTTTAAATATTATAAGAATTTTAAATTCCATTAATTAATCTTTAAAAAATAATTAAATTTAAAAATATTTGAAATTTTTAATTTTAGGTACTTTCCATGTCAGATTATGATATTAGTAATATAGAACACGAAGCTTTATTATTAGTTATAACATCTACTTTTGGAAATGGTGATCCTCCAGAAAATGGCGAAGTAAATTTATTATTTTTTATTCTAATTATTTAAAACTTAAATTATAATTTTATATAAATTTTATTTTTTAGGCTTTTGCACAAAATTTATATGCAATGAAAATGAATGAAACGTACATTAATAGTGGCAATAAAATAAGGTATTATAATTTTAATATAATAAAATTCATAAATTATATTATAATTATTTATATTAATTATAGTTTGGCAACTTCAAAATCGTTTATTAAAGCAAATAGTCAAACTGAAGTAAGCAATTCAAAAAAACTGGATAGGTTGGATTCTCTTCGGGGTTCAACCACAGATTCTCAAACAGAAGATACTTTTGGTCCTTTAAGCAATGTTAGGTATATTATTGAATATATTTATTTATAATCAATTTATAAATGTGAAATGAAATCTCTAATTCATTTCTTCAGATTTGCTGTTTTTGCATTGGGATCATCAGCATATCCAAATTTTTGTGCATTTGGTCGTTATGTGGATAATTTATTAGGTGAATTAGGTGGAGAACGACTGTTAAAATTGGCACAAGGAGATGAAATGTGTGGACAAGAACAAGCTTTTCGAAAATGGGCAGCCGATACTTTCGCTGTTCGTATCTTATCTGTAATTATCCATATTTATTATAAAATATTTTTTTAACATTTCTTGTAATTTTCAGGTTGCATGTGAAACTTTCTGTTTAGATGATGATGATACTTTGCTTGAAGTTGCCTTATCTTTAGGATCAGAAGCTTTATCAGCAGCAACTGTTCGTTTTATAGAAGCTGAACCCCAACCAATTGGAAAAGGTATATTTATTCATAGTTATTAATTACATTTTTATTTTTATAATTTTAATATTTCAGCTTTAAGCAAATGTCATAACAGAAACGTAACTACTTGTAATATGTTTCGAAAAACAAATTTAAGCGGTGATTCATCGAGGTATTATATGAAAATTGTAAATAAATAATAGTTTCATGATAATAATATAATAAATTTAACTTTATATTTTTATCTTTTATAGTGGAACTACGTTACTCTTAGAACTCGATGATATAGCAAGTATGGAAATATTATATAAACCTGGTGATCATTTGGGAGTTTTTGCATGTAATAGATCAGAATTAGTAGAGGCAATTTTAAAACGAGTACAAACTCCTTTTGATCCAGATGTACCAATTGAATTACAAATACAAAAACAATCTCATACTCCTAATGGTTTGTTTTTTTTTTTTTTTAATATTATTGAAATTGCTATATTATTATTATTGAATTCATTTTTTATTATAATTTTATTTTTTATATATAGGAATCGTAAAAACGTGGATAGCACATGATAGATATTTACCCAATTCCTTGAGAATATTATTAAAAAGATTTTTAGATATCACTACACCACCAACGCCGAACCTTCTTAGATACTTTGCGTCCATTGCTACAAATCCAAAAGAACAAGCTCAACTTAATCTTTTAGCTTCCGTAAATATTTAATTAATTAATTAATTTTAATTAATTTTCAACTTAATTTTAATTTCTATTAAAAAAATTTAATTATGATTGTTAAAAATTACTAAAAAAATATGAAATTTTAATAATTTTCTTTTATAAAAAGGATCCAGCAGTTTATGAGGATTGGAGACATTGGAAATTTCCTAATTTAGTAGAAGTATTGGATGAATTTCCATCCGTAAAACCTTTTGCACCATTATTATTACTTCATTTAACTCCTTTGCAACCAAGATTTTATAGTATATCTTCGTCTCCGGATGTACATCAAGGACAAATACATCTTACTGTTGCTGTTGTTCAATACAAAACACAAGGTAATTCTTAATTTTAAATTATATAATATATTTTTGAATTATAAGAAAATAATTTTTTATTTAAAAATAAAATTATTTTTAAAAAATTAGATGGTTTTGGACCAATCCATTATGGAGTTTGTTCCAATTATTTACGTGAAGTATCAGATGGAGAACCTTTATATGTATTTGTACGTAGGTAAGTTTTTGTTTTTAAATTTTAATAATTCAATATATACAAAATTTTTTCTAGATTTTTTTTTATTTATTTTATTTAGTGCACCTAATTTTTATATGCCATCCGAACCAAAAGCACCGATGATATTAGTCGGACCAGGAACAGGAATTGCTCCATTTCGTGGTTTTTGGCATCACCGTCTCGCAGAAATAAAACGCCGACCAGGTATAATTTGCTATATATTATGATTTATTAAAATAAATATTATAAAATAAATTACATTAATTATAATCATTTCAATAAAATTTATAGATCTTGAATATGGAAAAGTCTGGTTATTTTTTGGTTGTCGTCAAAGAAATTTAGATCTATATAGACAAGAGAAAGAAGAAATGGTAGAATTTGGCGTTTTAGATAAAATCTTCTTAGCTCTTTCACGAGAATCTGGTTTCAAAAAGGTTATAACTCAAAATATTTTTTAAATAATTTATAATATCACTTTGTTATACTTAAAATATTATTATACATAATTTTAACAGACATATGTACAAGATTTAATTCAAGCGGAAGCTTCACAAATTTATGATATGTTAGTGTATGAAGGAGGTCATTTTTACGTTTGTGGTGATTGTACAATGGCAGAAGACGTTTATCAAACTTTGAAACATATTATACAAACTCATAGTGAAATGACAGATAAACAAGTTGAAGCATATATGTTATCACTACGTGTAAATTATATCATAATTATTATTAATTTATATAATTATTAAATATATTTTTTAATTTCTTACATAATATAATATTTTACATAATATTTTTAGGATGAAAATCGTTATCATGAAGATATATTTGGTATTACTTTAAGAACAGCAGAAGTACATAATAGATCAAGAGAAACAGCAAGAAATAGAATGGCTGCCGAACCTTAAATTTTATTCTGATGAACATTTAAAAAATTTTGAATGATTTTATAGATAATTTTCAATTACGAGTATCATGCATAAATTAAATTAAGATATTTAGATGTCCTTAATTTCAACATATCGTACTATTATACGATTTATTATAATTTTATGATTATTATAATATGTAAGTTTTTAGTATTATATGTGTATATATTTTTTATGATATTAATGCTTGAATGATTACTTAGATATAATATTAAGATTAATATATCTTTGGCTTTAGCATTAAAAAAGTAAAATTACATATCCAAATAATCTTACCATAAAATTAATTAATATCTCAATAAATTCATTTTAGCAATAATATATTATTAGAAAGATATAAAGAACAAAGATATAAAATATCACATAAAATGATGTAACATAAAATTGAATATATTCCATTAATGGATTTTAATATATTATATTTTATCTTCATATATGAATGTATATAAAGTTAATTGAAATATATTAAAAAGAATTTGAACTTTATTTATAGTAAAACATATTCGATATTTATAAAAGATTTGATTCCATTATTTTATTAAATAATTTAGATAACTATTTATTTATTTCTATTTAATCAAATATAAGTTTCTATGTAATCATAATGAACAAAAAATACATATGACTACTTTCATTTTTTTCTTTTATTTATATAGCAGTTTCAAGATCAGGTTTTTGTTTCTGACTGATATTAGATAACAATTTTTTTATTTCTGCAATTGCCTTTCCAGGATTCAAGCCCTATTTAAAAGAAAAAATATTAATTTTTAATTGAAAAAGAAATTATATTTTTTAAATTATTTAAATACTATACTTACTTTTGGACAAGTACGAGTACAATTCATAATTGTATGACAACGATATACTGAATATGGATCTCGTAATTTTGCAAGACGTTCCTTTGCTTTGCTATCACGCGAATCAATAATCCATCTATAAGCCTGCATAAGTACAGCAGGTCCTAAATATTTATCACCATTCCACCAATATGATGGGCAAGAAGTACTGCAGCAAGCACATAAGATACATTCATAGAGACCATCCTATATTATAAAGAAATATATTACTATTTTATTATTACATTGTTGATTATACAATTATTTTATTATATAATAAAATAAGAAATATAAATTTTATTAATTTTAATAATAATTTTAACATTTAGTTACCAATTTTTTACGATCTTCAACACTTTGTAAATATTGTTTTGCACCAGTCTCCTTTGCATCACCACGTTGCAACCATGGTTGTATACTTTTATATTGATTATAAAAGTTATTTAAGTCGGGCACTAAATCTTTTACTATATACATATGTGGTAATGGATAAATTTTACTAGTTGAATTTAAATTAGTATCAATTTTGCTAAAATAATAATAATTTATATTTTAATATGACAATTGTTTGACTTGAAAACTTCATGAAATTAATTAAAATATACCTTATACATGCTAATGTATTTGTACCACCAATATTCATAGCACAGGAACCACAAATACCTTCACGACAAGAACGACGAAAGGTTAAAGTTGGATCAATTTCATTCTTAATTTTAATCAATGCATCCAAAACCATAGGACCACAACTATAATAGTTTTTAAATTAAATAAATTTAAAATAATAGAAAATTATTAAAAAATTATTAAAATAACTTTTAAAATAAACTTACGTATTTAGATCAACTTTATATTCTTGCATATATGGTTTTTCATCAGGTTTGTCTGGGTTCCAACGATATACAGCAAAACTTTTTAATTTAGCTTCAGACGCATTTTGATTTGCAGATATATGAAATCCTCTAACCTAAATCAACAAAAATTAATATAAAAATGAACTCAAATAAATTAACTAACATAAATTATGTAAAAAGAATCTAATTTAGAATTTCATAAATATATATTTAGATTAAATATTTAATTATTTATTGTTGATTATAAATTATACATTGAAATATAACAATTTTCTTAAAGATATAATGATATATTTAATTAAATTGATGTATATTATATAAATACATTATAATAATATAGTTAATTAATTCAATTGAATAAATTATTTGTCAATAAAATAAAAAGCTATTTTTATATATTTATAACTTATACAATTATATGTATTAAAGAAAAAAAAGTAACGTTCAAAATAAAAATATTAAGTGGCATTGTTTAATTAATCATTGTTTTAATTAATTGTTAAAATGTCAAAATATATAAACGAAAAACAATTGAATTGATATCAGTTATAGAATAGATTAAAGTTAGATTTTGTTATAGATTTATACAATATTTTAAAATATGAAATCAACAAATAATTCTAAGAAAAAATAATTTTTTAATTATCAAAGTTTCGGTTTTTTTTAATGCTTACTTGTCGAAATACATTTCTGCAAGCTTGTGGTGCGATGCCAGCCATTTTTTAAAAATGAATCAAGATGAAGACATTTGCAGTACCTATGTTATGTAAGTTATACACGTGAGGATGTACCAATCTAATTGTAATCTTTGCTTACGTAGAATATTTTTTTGAACCACTGTCAAATTCTATATTAATATTAATAACATATGAAAGAGTTATTTAAAATAATTATTTGTAATTTATTTAATAAATAGATTTTTCTATTTATTAAATAATATTTACATTATACAATCAATATTTTTTCAATAATATAATTAATACTTTAATTGAAATATAGATTTATTTTATTATGTAAAATGTTATACATTTTATATACTATTTTAACTTTTAATATAAATATATCTTATTATTTTTAAATAAATCTATAATTACTCTTTTTCATATATATTTTCTACTTTATAAATATTTTAAAAAGTTTATTCATATTTTTTAATATAAATACCTTAATTAAAATTTAGGCATAAATAAAATTTTTTTAAATATATTTTAAATTTAGGCATTGTTTTAAAATTAAAACAACGAAATGTATTTGTAAAAATTGATAATGCTCAACGTTTTCGTATACATATATAAAGATGATATATATAAATATATATAAATTTTATTAATATTACACAAAACGGAATTATTAAATTGTATCATCATGTATAGGTAATATTCTTTCGATTGTAATTATTTAAATTTCCTACATGTATATGTAAATAATATAAATTTTATATTATTTATATGTATAGGTTATGTTTTATATTCCTTCATTATTACTTTATCATATTTAAAAATTGAATTATTTTATTTTAATTTCTAAATATATTTAAAATAAATTTATTATTGCTATACTATATAGATTAAATATATTTTAAAAGTAAAAATCAATATTGTAATTAAATAAAAAAATTATTACAATACATAACCTAATAAATATATATATATATATATATATTTTATTTGAAAGCGCTTTTAAATATTTTTATGTAA